CGAGGAGGGGCCGCGGCCGTGGGGCGGGGGGTCCCGGGAATGCGGGGCGGGCCGGGGAGCCCGGGGGGGAGGTGCCCGTCCTGCCGGCCCGCCCTATATAGAGGGGGGGCCGAGCCAGCAAGATGCTTACTGCCAGTAGCGGGGCCGCGGGCGTGAGGGGACGGGGAGGAGGAGAAGGCGGCGGGCGGGTAGCGCCGTGTCCGGGCTCCGTCCTTGGCGTGCTGCCAGTAGCGGGGCCGCGGGCGTGGGGGGACGGGGAGGAGAAGGCGGCGGGCGGGCAGCGCCGTGTCCGGGCTCCGTCCTTGGCGTGTGCGGCTGAGGGAGGGCGCGGAGCCCGCCTGCACCCTCAGGAGCGGGGGTCTCCCTCTCTGCCCGCCCGCAGCGGGAGGTCCCGGGCCAGGGGCGGCCCCAGGTGCGGGGGGAGCCTCCGCCGCCCCCGCTGTCCCTCTCCGGTGTCCGTGCCTCCGTGTCTCCTCCGTCAGCATGAACATCCTGCTGGAGCTCTTCGTGGTGACTTTCCGGGTGCTGTGGGCTTTCGTTCTGGCCGCCGCCAAGTGGTTGGTGCGGCCCAAGGAGAAGAGCGTGGCCGGGCAGGTGTGCCTCATCACCGGGGCGGGCAGCGGCCTGGGCCGCCTCTTCGCCTTAGAGTTTGCCCGGCGTCGGGCTCTCCTGGTCCTGTGGGACATCAACACCCAGAGCAACGAGGAGACGGCGGGCATGGTGCGGCACATCTACCGGGAGATGGCTGCCACCTCCAGAGGTAAGCGGTGACCCTGCTGGGGGACGGCTACCACTTGCCCCTTCCCTTGCCCTGGGCTGGGGAAGGGGTAACCGAGGCTACTTGCCCCGGGGGTCTCCATCCCGGAGCCTCTCTCACCTGCTGGAGGGCACCAAACACCTCCTCGCTCCTCTATTTACTTAAATAACAACCGAAAAGTAAGAATATTATCCCTCCCCCCCCTCTCCCTGTTTTCTTCTCTGTGTTCCTTAGTAGCCGGAGAGGGAGAAAAAGATGCCCTGCCCCGCTGCGACTTGCAGGTTTACACCTACACCTGCGACGTGGGCAAAAGGGAGAACGTCTACTCCACGGCTGAGAGGGTCCGCAAGGAGGTGGGCGAGGTGTCGGTGCTGGTCAACAACGCCGGCGTGGTCTCTGGCCACCACCTCCTGGAGTGTCCCGACGAGCTGATCGAGAGGACCATGATGGTCAACTGTCACGCGCACTTCTGGGTAACTACAGACTCCTTTCTGCTGCCCTCTTTATTTTATTTTATTATTTTATTTTTTTCTGGTCAGTTAATTTGGGGGAATTAACTGCTGTTGCTTAACTCCTGTCTCCTTTGAGTTTGGTGCTCGCTCCCTTTCATTTTGCTCGCCACTTTTGTGGGTTTCTTATTTTTAGCCTGCCCTTCTGTTTAACAGGAATGGTGGGTATTAAAATGGTTAACAGGCAGTTTTAAAACAACTCTATCTGCCTCGAATCCAGGGTTCTGGAGTCTCGTGCCCTTTTTCTCCAGCCCCGGATGTGGAATCCTTTGCGAGCGCAACCTCTGAGTCTGCTAAAAGGCTGTTACTGTTAATGAATGACTTTCTCAGACTTCTGCTGGCTCGTCTCATGCCAGCATGTTAGCAGCTTTAAGATGCTGTTTTAATGATGGCTACAATAGCAAACTTGCACATCTCTTGGGGGGGAAAAAAGAAAAAAAAAAGAAAAAACTTAAAACCCCTGCTGGAAATGTTGCTTGAATTGCCTGGGAGGCAGATTGCTCCTTTTGAAGGCTGTGAGGAAAGGCGAAAAAGATCTCTCGAGAAATCAAGCCAAGACCACTTTTTTTTTCAGGAATCCTGCGTATTTGTCCTCATAGCTTTCTCTGGGGGCTGCCAGTGGAAGTAAGAAAAATTCTTTAATATGGTTTCTGGGGTGATACTGTCTCCATAACTAGCAGATGCTAATCAAGGAGAATAAGTTATGTGAACTTGCTCTTTTTATCTATCTAAACCTTGTTTTCCTCTGTGCTTTTTACTTTTTTTTTTAAACCCACCGTGGTGTGGAGTTACATAAACTGGAGTGTGGAAGGAGGACATGATGCACGCTGGGGTTAGAATTTGCTGTCAGACTGAGCCCATTGTTAGCACTAAAACTGTTCTTTGGTCCTTCAAATAAGGTTATGAAATACACTTGCATAACAATCAAAGGATTAGGCAATCTGAAATATACTTCAACTTAAGCCTCCTTTGGCTGGGTCTTACCTTTTCATAACAAAATTTTGTAGAATGTCTCATCTTCAAAACTCAAGAAGGCCCTCCCAAACCAAACTTTTTTCCTTTTTTTTTTTTTTTGCCTTAACATGGAAGTGAAATGCTGTTTCATAACCCTAAAGGAGCCCCTTCAAATCTGTGCTGTGAAACACTTAATGGCAGAGCAGTCTTTTTTTCCAACGTATTGTAAAGCTTGGGGAGAGACTGCTTCAACTTCGGTGCGGGAGAGATAGCGCCTTCAGAAAGGCTTTTAAACTGGGGAAAGTACATTATTTTTTTTTTTAAGGCCATTTTGCAAAGTTCTGAGAAAGTTCATTCGACTTCTTTACAACTGGGAGCTCTGCGTGTTCCCCTTCATAAAAGTTAAATTGATGGTTAGGCAAACAGAGATGTGCACTAGATTTAATGACTGTTATTGATGTGGTTTAAATGCCGAATTGACAAAGTTTCCAAGAACTCTTAAATTATGACATCACCATGAATTAAAATATGGGAGGATCCTAAATTCTCCAGCTGTTCTTCCTTCAGGCCTAAGTCATAGGCTTATTTATAACATTGTTTCAGAGACCTTTTTAAAGCACCCTCTGTGTGTTCTGAGTCTCTTACAGTAATAGAAAACTAATCTTAGAGTTTAGTATTGCTATGACTGGGTTTCCATAACAGCTCCATTCATCTCTAAATGTTAGTGTGAAGTGACTTTAAAATAAAAAAGAAAAGGCAAAAAAAAAAAAGTCTCCAAGAAGGTATGGTTAGATCTGAACTGTGGAACTTGAGATCTTGGCTTGAGCTTCTGAGGAGCAGTCAACACCCTTTATATTTAATTGAGGATCTGTTCATATGTACACTTCCTGCACATCCCGTGTCCTGCTTTGCTTTTCCTTTTATTTTTTGCTGTTGGTAAATCCTTTTTTTTTTTTTTCTTTTTTTCCCTTGGCTTCCCTTTCCCAATCCCAGAAGAGGTTGGCTTGACCAACAGTGGGTGGACTTCTATTAAACTAATAGTACTTAATTCGTAAGATATCATCTGAATCAGCTGATTTGGAGCCAACTTTTTTTTGATGCGAGTCAATGATGACTTAAATAGAACAATGTGTCTAGATGTGTGAAGTCTTACATAGCTAGTCTTTTCCGTGTCAGCTAAACTGGTGGTCCAAAAGCAAAGCTAATACTCTGGAGCATTATGTAGACTTTTAACTATTCTTGGAGGGCGTTTCATCCAAAAAGCTGTAAATGGATTTTTTACAAAGACATGGATCTTCCATGTAAAATTGCTTCAGTAGTTAAGTGTCTGTACTTTTGTTGGGGTTTTGTTTGGTTGGTTTTTTTCTTAGTGTGTGACTGGGGAAATTCTTCCTTTCCCCTTGATCATTAATCAAGCCTCGATGTGCTTATAAATAAAATCCTAAAGCGGGGCTCTCCCCTTGAAGCCTCTGAGATGAGATGGGTCGCCCTCTCTCCGTGCAGAACTGCAGGTGACCTGAGCTTGTCTTTACCTTGGCAGCTGTCATCTGAGGGCTGCCCAAATTCTGCAGTAGGCAGTGCCACCAGTCTGTCACTGGTTTGTGACTGTTGTGACTCCCACTGTATCCCGGGCTGGCAGCGGGGAGCGCCTCAGCAGCGTGCCACAGCCCCGACCAGATGCTTTCCATTTTGCTGACATCCATGATTTGTATAATCCTTCCTATGAGTGTTCTATATAAACATGTCACCGCTGCCTCGTGTAGCAATTTCCACAGCATAAAACCCACTGCAGTATTAAAAAACCTGTTATTTCATGCTGTGATAACTCGAATGCTTCTGATATTGAAAACATAGGGACAAAATCCATTCCTGGTTTGAAACAAGCCAGCTCTGGTTTACTATAATTTGCAGATGCATAAAACTGTAGCAGGAGTGTAACATTATCTTTCCTGCCAGCCTGTTGCAAGAATAATAACTTACTTGGCTGCACTTGTCAGTTACTGGAACTGAACTTCTGCAGACAAGGAAATTTTCTTCCTGTGATATGTCAGGATTCAGATTTGAAAAACGTTGAATCGCCGTGTAAGATAAAGCTGGTGCCTAATCAGTTTTAAGCAACTATAGGAATAGCAGTTTTTCTTTCTTGTGGTTTTACAATAAAGCTGAAGTATCAAAAGACTGTCTTTTAGCTCACGGAACTGTATTTAATAAAACTACCATACAGAGTTTTATTTCAGGACAATTTCAGATTTTTGTACCTACTCCAACCCTTTTTTTTTTTCTGGTGGAATAATGCTATTGCTGGATGTGTGGGCACTCATATTTTATATCTGTGTAGTACCTGGGAAATCCCTCTAGATTTGGTTGTTGAATGGGACTCGTGGAGGGGCAGGGGAAGGCGATGATGAGGGTCTGAGGTGAAGGTCCTTCTGAGCAGCAGCTCTTCAGTACTCAGCTCTGAGGGAAGCACCATCTGCCTTTCCCTGTCATCTGGATCCTCCAAAACTTTACAGCTCTCCTTCTAGAGGAGTTCTCTTCGACTTACCAAAAGGGGGAAGCAAAAGCATTCAGCTCCAGCTCTGTCATATTTATAGAGGGAAAAAAATAAATAAATAAAAATCCATGTGGGTGAGAGACTAGGGCCCAGAGTTTGAAGGCTTGTCTGCTGCTGTCTTAGCTCTGCTGGTTATGTTCATTTGCTTACAAACGACTTGATTTTTGAAGTTAGACAGGTATATTTGTCTTCGTAAAAATTGAACAAACCTTTAGGTGTCCTGACATTAGTGCAGGAAGAGAGAAATACTGAGTAAAGGGGGGGAATACTGCTTAAGTAATTAGGGCATTCATAAATAATCCAAAACTTAATGTACCTTGGAAAGAAAGTTAATGCAAAGTTACTAAATCAAATCTCTATTTATGCAGCTGCTGTACTTGTTGGTGTAATTAAAGAGATAAAGCCCTGGAAAATAAGTGGCTTGTAGTTATCTATAAGGTATTGATACTTACGTATTGTTGTTCTAGACTCTTCAAGCTTCCTGGTATTAAATAAAGCTGCCTTATGCCTATAGTTTGTTTAAATATGGAAGTATGGTATTCAGTGTGCACACATGGATCTTCTACAGAAGAAAAGACAGCATAAGTTATATTATTTGAAACACTCTATTGGAAACTATACCTGGCCCTGTCTTTGGTGGCCTCTTGGCACAGCAGTTTGATTTTTGTCTTCATCTCTGGGATTCTAGTGTCAATGATCAAAATAGACACAGTATTCCTTCCACTGACAGACAAACTACCTATATTTAGCATTTTGGATGACTGGAATTAGCTGCTTCAATTGATTTTATTTTTTTTAATATCATGATAACATAATCCAAGATGCATAAATTTCCTTAGGAAGTTTAACCTACAAATTCTTGCCTTTTTTTTTGTTTGTTTGTTTTTTGAAAAATGAGTTGGATCAAATTCAAGCAACGCATGTGCACATGATCCAAAAAGTGTCATCAAAACTCATTCTTCCCTTGCAAAATGGTACATGCCACCAGTGAATTCCCCCGGCCAGCACATGTGGTTTATATACTGCGGTAGCATGCTGGGCAGTGAACGTGAAGCAGAAAAAGCAGAGGCAAGACTCTTTGCTACGGAAATAGTCATATTAGTCGTACTTAAAAAGTTTTAAGTGCTTCGGTATGGTGCTGCGGTTCGTGTGTTCCTGGGTTCATTTCTCAAGAAAATAGAGGGAATCTATCAATTGAGAAAATGCTGCGTCCCAGATGCACGCTCTAGAAAACAGCACTTTTTTTTTATTTTACAGAGGGCTTTGCTTAACACAAGTTTGAGAAAATAGAATCATAGAATTGCCCAGGCCGGAAGGGACCTCCAAAGGCCATCTAGTCCAACCTCCCCGCAGTCAGCAGGGACCCCCCCAACTAGACCAGGTTGCCCAGGGCCTCGTTGAGCCTCTCCTTGAATATCTCCAGGGAAGGGGCCTCAACCACCTCCCTGGGCAACCT